AGTAAAAATTCCTTTGATAATAGTAATATGGTAACATGAAAAAATATATATAAATAGAGCTTCATCTACAAGCTTGTACAAAATTTCACTAACCATCTCTTTAGTTAAAACATTGAAAAACCTTATGAAATATATATTGCATAGAATTGTAAACAAGGTATACTGTTGAAAAAATACTGACCTTTCAACTTTAACATAATTACTAAAAAGATATCTTGACTAATAGAACACCTTTTTTTTTATTAAAAATTTATAATATTCTATTTGGGCTTTAGACACATCTACTTGGGCCTTAGATGCATTTTCAATTGCATCGCAAATACGCGATGCAATTGAAAGAGTTCCTTCGTTTATTGCAGCCGGATGTAGATTGAGTTGGTTCCTAATCAGGAATAGTGACAATTGATTGCACATCGCTTGTATCATCCAAAGCTTCAGTATTTAAAATACTGACAGTCTCCTTGCCATCTTCCATATAGGCAATCTGTAAATAAAATATACACATTAAAAAAATTACACATTTGAGAAATGATTATAAATCATGTTTCAATCAAAATTTATCTCTTGATTTTGAAAGACTTGACTTGAAGCCATTTTTCTCCCTTCCTTCCCTAAACAAAAAGGATCTATTTAGACAATAGCATTTTACAAATTGATCTAGCCAATATTAAAAGATCCCTTTTATAATTCAAAAACTTTATATTATATGTTTTTGATCTTTATGCTTTAAGTCTCCCAAATGTTGCAAAACTAAGAACCTCTTAAACCTTATTTTGTAGAAATAGTTAACATGCTTGTTTATATTACTTTAAAAAATATATAGCACTTTAAAATATACAACAATAAATTATACTAAACTTACCTGACCATCTTGAAAATCTTGAGTAGAAAAGTTTTGACTTTAAGATAAAAGGTCATTGTCAAGGGAAGCTTCACTACCTATTATTTTGGCAACAATATCGTAAGGCCACCATTTACTAGGAGCTCCTCCCGATGAACCAACTTGAAGTTTTTCTTGTCTATGAAAAATATACATAAATATAAGTAAATATAAGCACATCATTAACACCGTATAACATTAATCAAATAACTTTAAATGGACAAATTATTATTAACGAAATAATTATTAACAAAATTAACGAATTATTAACGAATAATAAAATAACGAATTATTAACAAAATAATTATCAATGAGCTGTAAATCTTTAATACTGAATAAGATTTAAGTAATTTTTAATATAACACTCAGTTACAAACTAAATTGCAATTAGATATTATTACACATGGTTAGTTTTGTAAAATACTTTCAGTATTTCAGTATTTCATATTAAGGTATCAAACATTAAATGTCGAATATGTACATACCTTAATTGTTTCCTCAAATTACTAATTTTAGATTGAATTTGATATCCATTTAACGGAGGTACGATATTAAATGTGTTTGAAAATTCAGCTGCCATTTGTTTGTAAATACTTGTACTTCTTCTTGCAGATGTTAATGCTTTGTAATTATCTTTCCATAAATATAATAACACTCTTGTGTTAGCCATATTCCATACAAATTTATCTAAAGGAGATGTGCAAAGACCAATATTTGTTGTGCTAGCATCAATATATTCTTTTTTTGAATGCTGAGACATTGTGTAAAATTAAAGTTTTACCTACTAAAAAGGATAAGTACATTGAATCTTGCAACAATAACAACAACAACAACAAAAAGAAGAGAAATAGTTAATAATAAAATTAAAGATTAAAATTCATAATTGCTATAAATGTTATGGGCTTAAAATAATTTAATAATGTTATGGGCTTACTAAATAAATTAATAAATTGCCAAAAACTGGTAGCCAAGAGAACAGAAACTTTCAGATGCTACTTTTACTTTTTTATACTTTTCCATGCAATATGATAATTATGTGATTTAATAACATTGATCTTTCAACAGTATTGTTTATTTTTATTTTTAAATGTCAATAATTATAGTACATTGTGGCAAAGATATAAGGTACAGTCATATCAATACAGTCAATCAATAATATATATTCTGAATAAAGGTCTTACTTTCACAATTATTTACAAACAGTAAATTAACTAATTAACAAATTAAAATAACAAGATAAAACAAAGCTAATATAATAAAATATATATGACATATAAATAAAATATATGGCAAAGCTCATATATAACAATATATTCCAGTAATAATATCATTAATAATATTAATATATATAATAATAACAATGATGATAATAATAATAATAATATTAACAATTGTTATTGTTGTTATTGTTATCATTATTATTACTATTGTTATTCTATTATTATAATTATTATAATAAAATAATAATTTATTTTATTATTATTATCAATGTTGGCAAGACCAATGATAAACAACTCTGCTTATTAGTTCAAAGTTGAATTTTATAAATAAAATTACTATAAGTTTATTAAAAATGCATTAATAGCAATGCTTGCAAAGAACATAATTAAATAAAAACTATTAAACAATGAAAATTAAACTTTCTTAACGCAAGTTAAATGTTACCTTGAATTATACTTTTTGTTAATTCAAATTAAAACTGATCTTAATAAGAATAATAGTGTCTTTGTAATATTATATTTTAAGATTAAGTTTTAAACACACATATATGACTTTTTATATTAATAATACACTAATAATAAAATTTCTATTCTATTTATACAAATTTTAAATATCGTTAAAAATAACTTGAAATTTGTGATGGCTAAATAATTGTTTTTAAATAATTGCCCACCATCTGGTCTACTCATGATTGATCCCACATGAGTGGGATCGGAATTTCCTTGGTTGCATGAAATTATCACAAGATTTTACTTAATGAATAAAGATATGAAATTATATTCGAAGAAATGTTTTGAATTCAATAAAAAAGATGGAAGACAAAAACTAAAAGTTTCAAAGCAACATGTTGAAAGGCAAATAGTATATCGACAATCTTGTCTTGATATATGACCAAGACCTAGGACAATGCAGAGATCAAGGACTAAAAACTCTGATTAAGATGACAACAACTTTGTAAAAAAAATAGTTTGAGTTACTTTCCCAACAAATTTGCATCTTGCAATGCATTTTTATTGTTATTTTTATTTTTATTAATCATTTAGCTTATATGCATACGCTTATTTTAAAAATAGTTGAAATAGGCACCATTTTTATACAAAACCAAATAAATGTTCCGGAACATTTATTTGTTCTTGGTTATAGGCTGTTCACACGAGGGTACATTTAATGGAACATTCCGTGGAACATGGAACATGAACAAATATCCTCTCGTGTGAACGCAAACGGAACAAAAATTCAAGGAACATTTGAGGAACTTTTGTTCCGTCTCGCCAACCCAGAACAAATAAATGTTCCGGAACATTTATTTGGTTTTGTATAAAAAATGGTGCCTATTTTTAACTATTTTTAAAATAAGCGTATGCATATAAGCTAAATGATTCAATAAAAATACATTGCAAGATGCAAATTTGTTGTAAAAGTAACTCAAACTATTTTTTTTACAAAGTTGTTGTCATCTTAACCAGAGTTTTTAGTCCTTGATCTCTGCATTGTCCTAGGTCTTGGTCATATATCAAGACAAGATTATCGATATACTATTTGCCTTTCAACATGTTGCCTTGAAACTTTTAGGTTTTGCCTTCCATCTTTTTTATTTAATTCAAAACATTTCTTTAAATATAATTTCATATATTTATTCATTGAGTAAAAACTTGTGGTAATTTCATGCAACCAAGGAAATTCCGATCCCACTCGTGTGGGATCAATCATGAGTAGACCAGATGGTGGGCAATTGTTTAAAAAACAATTATTTGACCATCACAAATTTCAAGTTATTTTTAACGATATTTAAAATTTGTATAAATAGAATAGAAATTTAATTATTAGTATATTATTAATTTAAAAAGAAGTTATATATGTGTGTTTAAAAACTTAATCTTAAAATATAACATTACAAAGACAGTATTATTCTTATTAAGATCAGTTTTAATTTGAATTAACAAGAAGTATAATTCAAGGTAACATTTAACTTGCGTTAAGAAAGTTTAATTTTCATTGTTTAATAGTTTTTATTTAATTATATTCTTTGCAAGCATTGCTATTAATGCATTTTCAATAAACTTATAGTAATTTTATTTATAAAATTCAAGATTGAACTAATAAGCAGATTTGTTTATCATTGGCCTTGCCAACAGTGATAATAATAATAAAAATAATAATTATTATTATAATAATAATTATAATAATAGAATAATAATAGTAATAATAATGATAAAAATAACAACAATAACAATTGTTAATATTATTATTATTATTATTATCATCATTGTTATTATTATTTATATTAACATTATTATTGATATTATTATTGGTATATATTGTTATATATGAGCTTTGTCATATATTTTATTTATATGTCATATATATTTTATTATATTAGCTTTATCTTATCTTGTTATTTTAATTTGTGAACATTACCATTAGTATTTTCCTCATAAATATTCTGTATTTACTTAATATTAGTTATTTTACTGTTTGTGAATAATTGTGAAAATAAGATCTTTATTCAGAATATATATTATTGATTGACTGTATTGATATGACTGTACCTTATATCTTTGCCACAATGTACTACAATTATTGACATTTAAAAATAAAAATAAACAATAGTGTTGAAAGATCAATGTTATTAAATAACATAATTATCACATTGCATGGAAAAGTAAAAAAAAGTAAAAGTAGCATCTGAAAGTTTCTGTTCTCTTGGCTACCAGTTTTCGGCAATTTATTAAATTATTTAGTAAGCCCATAACATTATTAACTTATTTAAAGCCCATAACATTTATAGCAATTATGAAGTTTAACCTTTAATTTTATTATTAACGATTTCTCCTCTTTTTGTTGTTGTTGTTGTTATTGTTGCAAGATTCAATGTACTTATCCTTTTTGGTAGGTATAACTTTAATTTTACACAATGTCTCAGCATTCAGAAAAAGAGTGTATTGACGCTAGCACAACAAATATTGGTCTTTGCACATCTCCTTTAATTAAATTTGTATGGAATATGGCTAACACAAGAGTATTATTAGATTTATGGAAAGATAATTACAATGCATTAACATCTGCAAGAAGAAACACAAATATTTACAAACAAATGGCAGCTGAATTTTCAAACACATTTAATATCGTACCTCCGTTAACTGGATATCAAATTCAATCTAAAATTAGTAATTTGAGGAAACAATTTAGGTATGTACATATTCTACATTTAATGTTTTATACCTTACTGAAATACTGAAAGTATTTTACAAAACTAACCATGTGTAATAATATCTAATTGCAATTTAGTTTGTAACTGAGTGTTTGAGTGTTATATTAAAAATTACTTAAATCTTATTCAGTATTAAAGATTTACAGCTCGTTGATAATTATTTTGTTAATATTTTGTTATTTTATTATTCGTTAATAATTCGTTAATTTTGTTAATAATTATTTCGTTAATAATAATTTATCCATTTAAAGTTATTTGATTAATGTAATACGGTGGTAATGATGTGCTTATATTTACTTATATTTATGTATATTTTTCATAGACGAGAAAAACTTCAAGTTGTTCATCGGGAGGAGCTCCTAGTAAATGGTGGCCTTACGATATTGTTGCTAAAATAATAGGTGGTGAAGCTTCCCTTGACAATGACCTTTTATCTCAAAGTCAAAACTTTTCTACTCAAGATTTTCAAGATAGTCAGGAAAGTTTAGTATAATTTATTGTTGTATTTTTTAAAGCGCTATATATTTTTAAAGTAATGTAAACAAGCATGTTAACTATTTCTAAAAAATAAGGTTTAAGAGGTTCTTAGTTTTGCAACATTTGGCAGACTTAAAACATAAAGATCAAAAACATATAATATAAAGTTTTTGAATTATAAAAGGGATATTTGTAAAATGCTATTGTCTAAATAGATTCTTTTTGTTTAGGGAAGGAAGGGAGTAAAATGACTTCAAGTCAAGTCTTTCAAAGTCAAGAGATAAATTTTGATTGAAACATGATTTATAATCATTTCTCAAATGTGTAATTTTTTTAATGTGTATTTTTTATTTACAGATTGCCACAATGGAAGATGGCAAGGAGACTGTCAGTATTTTAAATACTGAAGCTTTGGATGATACAAGCGATGTGCAATCAATTGTCACTATTCCTGATTAGGAACCAACTCAATCTACATCCGGCTGCAATAAACGAAGGAACTCTGATGATGAAAAAACTTTAAATAAAATAGCAAAAACTGAACAGGTGAGAAAAAATAAAAAAACAAATTTTTCTTCTGAATATTATATAAAAATAGCAAATAAAAATCTAGATGTTCAAATCCATTCAAGAGAGCTACGAATCAGAGAGGTTGTTGCTTTAGAGCGTATTTGCGATGCAATTGAAAATGCATCTAAGGCCCAAGTAGATGTGTCTAAAGCCCAAATAGAATATTATAAATTTTTAATAAAAAAAAAGGTGTTCTATTAGTCAAGATATCTTTTTAGTAATTATGTTAAAGTTGAAAGGTCAGTATTTTTTCAACAGTATACCTTGTTTACAATTCTATGCAATATATATTTCATAAGGTTTTTCAATGTTTTAACTAAAGAGATGGTTAGTGAAATATTGTACAAGCTTGTAGATGAAGCTCTACTTATATATATTTTTTCATGTTACCATATTACTGTTATCAAAGGAATTTTTACTTTATATAAAATAAAAATATTTTGTGATTTTAAGCATTAAAATGCATATCTGGTGGTATTTTTTAAATTTGTCATGTTATTTTATAAATACTTTTTCTTGTATCTCTATGCTATATATATTAAGTATTTTTACGAAATAATTTTTTTTTTGCAATATGAAGCAGGCCTGTAGATGAATTATAGTGATATGTTTTTTGCCAACGTGTTTTGTTTTTAATTTGTACAAATTGCATTACATGTTTCATTTTTGTTTTTGTTCTAACAAAATGGTTTTTAAAAATGTGTTTTAATATCCCTTGAATTGTAATATAATAAGTATTATATTTATTTAATATATTTATATAGTTTTAATAGTTTTTTAGGGAGACATCGGTAAAGGAAAAAGCTATTGGAAAAACATGGAAAGCGTTTTAGCCGTACTTCGATTAAGAAGAAGAACATTAATCAATGATGAATCAATTATTCACCCATTTTCATATTTAGATTTAGCTTCCTTTAAGTTAAATCAACAAGGGTATCTGATTGAAAGAAAAGTTTGGGTTAGGCCAAAAAGTTCTCAATGGTTTAATGAGATTTTTACTCAAATGGAGAAATGTGAATTTAAAGAGCATTTTCGAGTAAATCGTAACACATTTAATTTCCTAGTTAATGAATTGCATCCACATTTAGGCAAAACTACCACAACTATGCGAGAACCAATTTCAGTAGTAAAACGTGTTGCAGTTGCATTACATTATCTAGCTTCATGTGAAGAGTATCGTGTTGTGTCTAGCCTTTTTGGCATAGGAAAGTCAACAGCAATTTTAATTGTTCATGAATTTATTAATGCTGTTAATGACATTTTGCTCCCTATATATGTTAAATTTCCATTGTCAGTGGAAAATTTAAATAAACATAGTAGAGATTTCGAAGCTATTCTTGGTTTTCCACAATGCGTTGGAGCTGTTGATGGATGCCACATCCCTATTTCAGCCCCTAAAGATCAAGCGACTTCTTATTATAATTATAAAGGGTGGTATTCCATTGTACTTTTTGCCGTTGTCGACAGTCGATACCGTTTCATTTATACAAGTGTTGGATCGCCTGGTAGAAATAATGACAGCTATATTTTGCAGAATTCTTCTTTGAAAGAAATTTTAGAATCAAATCTATTTGATAAATGTTGTAAAGAGCTGGGCGATTCTCTTGTTCCACTATGTTTAATAGGTGATTCAGCATTTCCTTTAACGCGTCATTTGTTAAAACCTTATCCTGAAAATTTGGAGCTTAGTGAAATTCAAAAAAATTTCAACAAAATACTTTGCGGAGCTAGAAGAGTAGTTGAGAATGCCTTTGGGCGCGTTAAAGCTCGATTCCGTGTAATTTGCAAACGTATGGAATGCGATATTAACTTTGCTACAAGAATTTTTAATGCTTGCGTCACTCTTCACGACATTTGTGAATATTATGACGATATTATTATAATAGAATGGCTTCTGCATCATCATGATGACAGTCTAGCTCAACCCAATACAGTTTCTACAACTGGGAATAATGGACCAGGATAAAATGTTCGTGACTCAATTGCTAAATACCTTTATGAAAGGGACAAGTAAAGTAGTAATAATATCATTTTATTTATAAAGTAGTAATAATATCATTTATTATTTAAAGTTTTAGCTGTAATATGGTTATGTATTTAGTAGTTTTGAACTAAACTTACCTTCCTTGAGGTTATCAAATGTGTCTAAATAAATAAATATTAAATATGTATGAACACAAAATGAGATTAGTTTTAACTGGTCGTGGGTAACATATTAATGTATAATATGTTTATTCGGTACTATACCACTGATGGACTACTATTCTGTGTCGTCAAAAGCGACTAAAGGAGATATTACCTATCCATAAAAGCCAAAAAACGGGATAACAAAATTCCAACGTCACCTTTTGTATGGCGGGTATTTTGGGTTGGGTTTCTATTGTCTAACTCTGAGCTAGCTAAACCCTCAGCGTTATTTGTATTTAGTTTTACCTCTCATAAATGTTTAAATATTGAAAATTAATAAATTATATTAACAATGTGTATTTGCCAAACTGTTTGTCACTAATTTTTATTCGAGTTTTACCTACCGTTTTTTTACTCGTTTTTTCTTTTATGTACTGTCAAGCCAATTTTACATGTGAACGCCACAAGTAACATTTTGTGGAACATTTTGTTCCAGGAACATTTGTTCCGGAATAATGTTCCGCTAAACATCGCTAGTGTGAACATGGTATAAGAGACTTTTTTTACATTAAAAAGCTCTTTCGACTACACTATATGGGTACCCAGCCGGCAAATAACGATGAAATAACGTTGAAATATCGTTGAAACCTAACGTTGAATTAACGTTGGTTTAACGTTTAGAATGAAAGTTTTTTTAAACGTTGATTTATCAACGTTAAATCAACGTTAGGTTCAAACGTTATATCAACGTTGATTCGACGCGAAAAAACGTTACAATAACGTTAAATTTACGTTGATTTAACGTTTAGAATGAAAGTTTTTTTCAACGTTGATTTATCAACGTTAAATTTACGTTAGATTTAAACGTTATATCAACGTTGATTCGATGCAAAAAAACGCATCGAATCAACGTTGATATAACGTTTGACGTACATTAGTGTTGCAGTACATTATCAAGGTATATTATGGATATTAAATCTATTCATAGTCTATACTTAAGTATAGACTTAAATAAAATAAAATTAATTATTAAAAATAAATTAAAAATAATTAAAATATAATATAAAAATATAAAAACAATTAAAAAATTCTTAAATAAAACAAGTTTTATCTCTTTCTTTAATCATATCTAGCTATTTTAACTAAACTAAACTGAAAAAGTTCTAAATAGTCTAAGTACTTAGACTATTTAGAACTTTTTCAGTTTAGTTTAGTTAAAATAGCTAGATATGATTAAAGAAAGAGATAAAACTTGTTTTATTTAAGAATACATATTCAAATATTACATATATTTACATGTAATTGAATAAAATCTACACAAATTTCTTTTCTTTTCCACCACATTTTTGAAATAAAGCGTAATTTAGAAAGTCAAACAATATTCCATTTACCGAGGGTCTTTTGGTCCATTGAATACAATATAAGAAGCTGTAAATAAAAAAATATATTAAAAAAAAACAAAAAGGTAAGATTTAAAAAATAAATAATCAATGGAAAAGTTTTACAACTTATAAAGGTATATCTTTTTCAACGCCATATAGATTAGTGTTTTTAAAATATACTTTTCCACCTTTGCCCTTCATATCCATCGAGTCCATATAACTTTTCGAAAATACTCTGAATTTTGAAAAAATAATATAACTGTTAGTTGGTTATTAATAACTTTTTCAAATATTTAATTTAAATAAAACAACCTTTTTAATATATTAAAAATAAATTAATAATCAAAATTTAAAACATTTCTAGCATTGAAAAATAATTTTCTGGGTGGCCACATAAAAGTTTTATAAGAAATTTTATGTGGCCATTTATTAATGGTTTAACGTCCATGTTTATACACTTATGGGGCATGGACAGGGATCAAATAATGTCATTTGTTATGTTAAATAGCATGCATTTTCTAAAGCAATTTTCTACAATTCCATGCACTTTAAGGCGTTAACCAGTTTTGCAGACCGAAAATAGGTATTTTGAACATTATATATCCATCAAAAATTAAAAAAGGAAGAATTAATGAGGAGCTTTGATCAAATTTTTACCTCTTTAGAGGATAATAGAGGATTTTAGAAGTGGTTTTAAAAAAAGAGGACTTTAGAGGATTTTAGAGGAGCTGCAGACACCCTGATTATAAATGAGGTAACTCCACCAATTAACTGTAATTGATTTATCTGTAAAAAAACATGAAGTAAATCTAATATTATGCTTGTGGAGATATATTATATTGTGGAGAACCATCCAAACCACACAAGTGGAAAATTTGCATCCAAGTTTCCACTTGTGTGCAAATCTTGCACCCACTTGTCAACATTCTCATTATCACATTTTTCTTTTGTAGTTGTGAATTTAAAATTTTCACAATACTGTTTGCTTTTTTTAGAATTGAAATAGTTATACAAATAGTTATATATTTTGTATCAACAAAATAACTCTTCTTACCACATTAATTAAAAAATAATAATTGTAATATATAGATGTAATACCTGAAGAGAACTTAGTTTTTATTTGTATAAACTGAAGCCAATTCTTCTCTGCATTTTAGTGCAGTCAACGCTTTGGTACCTGGAAGCCGACAAACAGTTTTATCACTAATCCAATCAGATGGAATTACTTCTTCTTGTAAATCTTCATTCCAAACAGCTCCTTTCCGCATATTCGATTTTGAAAAAATTACATGAACTAATATAAAATGAAGAAACCATAATATAAGTGTACTAACAGGCCTAATTAAACTAGCTAAATTTGAACATTTTATAACCATGATACTTGCTAAACAATAATATTAGTAGATATTATAAGCAAAGATAAGATTTTCTTTATTTTATAAATTTATTATATTTTAAACTCATTTTTATTAATTTATTTATTACTCTATTATTCAGCAGAGTTCTGAATATACTAGGTTCAAATAACTTAAGGCTCAATAACAAAGACAAATAATGAAAGAATACTAGGTTGCTAAAACATAAACATCTACATAAGATAATTATGGAATATTGAAAAAAAATAAAAATACAAAAAAACAAAAATACTCATTATTAATATAAAATATAATAGTATAATATAAGGTATATTATAATTTATGACACAATAATATCTACTTTTAATTAAAATATAAAAACAACAAAAATTAAAAAAGAAAATATTTTGATAAATAATAAATTATCATTCAAACATTTTTCAAGACCAAAAAATAACTTGTAACTTATTTTTTTACTTATCTTTATCTAATAAGCATTACTTATTTTTTACTCATCTTCATCTAATAAACATTAATATTAATACCAATTTTAAGCATTATTAGAATTTTTTTTTTATCAAAAAATAAAAATATTACACCAGTTACTTTTTGGGCTTTTCTTATTTTACTTAAAACATCAACTCAACTCTAGGCTTTTTTCATTATTGAGTTTTAATTTGTAATGTTGAATTAACACTGAAAAAAAAAATATTAGCAGACAAAAAGAAAATATTTCTTTATTGAAATATATGTAAATATTTCAATAAAGAAATTTTAGATCGATTTTTATAAATATAAATTTATATCAATCAATCTAAATTTTTTTCTTTGCCGCCACCTTTTCGTGCATTTTTAGAAGTTAGACAAAATGCCAACAATTAAAGTTTCAGTCGCTCCATCGTATTTAATAGAAGAAGCTGTTAATAAAAAAGAATAAGAAAAAAAAAAAAAAAAAAAAAAAAACACAAGGAGAAATTTTTGAATATATAAAAAATGAGAATAAAAAAGTTTTACATATCTTATAAAGGTATACCTTTCACTACACCATATAAATTAGTGCTCTTAAAGCATATTTCCACCTTTCCCCTTCATATTCATGGAGGTCACAAAATTGTTGAAAAATATTCTAAATTTTAATAGATAAGAGAACTGATATTAATTGTGCGAGAACTATTATTAATTTTTTTTTTTTTAATTTAAATTGAACTCATTATCAAACATTTTTTTTGCTAAATAATTTAATCCTTAAAATTCCTGAATAATTAAAAATTATTTTAATTACCTCAGCATTTTAAAGATATTCCATTGATTGCAATTGATTCACTTAAAAAAAAACAACAAGTAAAGCTAATATTATTGTTTGAAATTTTAATTATCTTTATACAAATACTCATCATATTTTTAAAGTGACTGATAAAAATGGATTTAATTAAAATCACTTCATTTGTATTAAAAAGTTATTATTAAAGCCTTAATCATACATTATACAAGAGTATTTTGTAATACAATCTAAATAGTTGTTGCGATATGTAATTTTTTTATCCAAAATTTAGCTTCTATAAGCTTTAGAAATTTTTAAAGAAATTATTGATGAATTTGGAGCTACGGGTACTAATGCTTTTATATTGTTGTAATGTTTGTATTAATTCCTTGTTAGTTTCTGTAAGTCAAAATTTTAAGGTGTTTCCATAATAAATTCTGTTATATCTGAAATTTAGTGTTAGTCTGAATAATTTAATTTCTAAAATCTGTTTTGCATTGCCATTCTTATAACATCTTTACTTGGAACAAAAACCATGTGGTTTAAAAGTGAGCTAGAAGCTTTCAACAATGAAGAAAATATTGCATTCCCTAATCCTAAAAATATATTAAACCTGTCAGCAAAATCAGCTGTCAATAATCCAAGTATTAGCATCATTAAAAATTTATCTTTGCTGCATTACGTTTATTTTGGTCCAAGTAGTTAAGGATTTTTTTAAATTTCAAAAAACAGAAGTAAATGTTTCTTTAGTAACACTTTATCTCTTTTGATTAATGGTGATACTGCACTAACTGATGAAACACATTGACAGATGTAAGGCCAGTAAAAAAGTCGCAAGATC